CATGTTTGAGGGATTTGGTAAATTTTTGTTTCAAATTGGATATTTTAGACATTTCAATTGAAGGGTATTTAAGACTTTTAATGTATGATTTAATAGACCAAAGGCTATTGGAACAAAAACTATTGAGATAGACTATTTTACCAATAATTATGGTTGACTGGCCTTTTTAAGCAAAAACCCCTTTATGAAAAACCTGATTTTTGTAATTCAAAACATTGGGACCTGATTTTTTATTTTGAGATAGATAAAATCTGAGATGTAAATTTTTTCCAAAACTCGTTAGCTCATGAATGAATCGACTCGCTCCATGAGACCCACAAGCCGAACAGCCTAATCGATCCTAGTTTGTAGACAAGCCCATTATCACCCCCTTAATATTAAAGAACAAAAAGATTCTATTTTAAAACTTTGTTTATGTACCCTTGCTTTCTAACAAAGTTCGACTAAACTCACTCTGCTAAAAAAAGACATGAATGTAATTTGTCAGAGAGTCGTAGGCAGGAGCTATGAGGATAATATAAAAAGATTTAAATTTTAATTTCTTCCATAATTTTGTCTTTTATCGAACAAATTTATCTTACCAAACAATCCACAAATGTGTAGTCAGCAAAATAGAATTAACTTGGCATGAAACAGTTTTGGAAGCATGACCATACATAAAAACAATTTAAAATATTATTTATTATATTGTTATGCGTATAGAAGATTAGAATCATCACTTGTATTACACATCATGTGTAATTTCTTCGATTCACTGTATCATTATAGCTGCCCACTTCGAGTATAAAGAGGTTCACACTCATCACATCACATCCCGAAAACATATGCATTCTCCGTTGTGTAGATATGTATAGTCGATAATGAAGCGATTGATGCTGATGTTCTGATTCTATTTAGATTTATGAGCACCGCTGAACTGTTAAGAGTGCTAGTCCAGAGGTAGGCGCAAAATATATACTATGTTGATTGTGCAGAGCATAAAAAGAGTACTCGCTATATCTAGCTTTAGTATCCATCTCCAAACTATCTAACATCTATCAAGAAGTAAACAGCAGATGTAGGGAAACTTAAATCCATTATCAAGTTCTTATTTTTGAAAAGTTACATATGTGTTGCCACTGAAATGAATATTACTTGCAACCAACGAAACTACACGAAAAAAATGACAGTGGTGTTGAAAATTGATGCAGATTTGTATGGAAGGTGATTAGCATTCCACTCCACATTGTTTCAGTATAGGGCCAGTTTGTTTGGGCAAGAAGGGATCAATTCGAACCCAAACAAGTGAAAAGATTGAAGCCAGTAGAATTGACCACAGAACCACAATTGTAGGAGTCCTGTTTTGCCTTCCCATCAACCCCTTGAGGAAAGGATAGAGGTGAACAATAACCCAGAAAGCAAAAAATAGCTTTCCAAAGAGAGGACCCCACGAACCATATCCATTGTTAATAGCATCAGAAATTCCTGCTACAACACCAACCATATTTAGGATAATCAGCGTGGTTGGTGGAATGAGAAGAGTTGTCCATTTGAAGAGGTAGAGCTCTCCAAACTCTGCATCATCAGCAGCTTTTGCTGTTACAGTGAAGTTTGTGTCAACTCCGGCGAGGACCTTGAGAAGACCTTGGAAGACTGCAAAGAGATGTGCTGAAACGCCACCGATGACCCAGAATTGCTCATTGCGCCACCAGTCCTCAATGCTTACCCCACTCCATCGGAGCTCAAGCACGCCTGTCACTATGATGGAGAGGAAAAGAGCCATAAACCATATGCTTGCCAGGTTGTTTAGCTGCATAAGGCAATAGGTTCTGATTAGAAATGTACTTACTAATCTTAGGACACAGTAAATTACATTGATAATCTCTCTTTTTGTGTTTTAGGGTTATAGTTAGGCTTCAATAATACTTACAGTTGGAACAATGAATTTTCCAGTAAGAAGACACACAGCCGGAAGTGTGCAATAGGCTATCAGAGCAATGGAAGTGAACGGATACACGATGGTGTTAATATAAGCAAGTCTCTCTAACAATTTTAGCTTTCCTCCATATCCATACCAAAGTGGACAATGACGACTGAGGAAGATTTCGACAGAACCAAGAGCCCATCTCAGGACTTGGTGCAACCTATCTGACAGATTGATTGGAGCTGATCCCTTGAAACAAGGTCGCTTGGGTGAGCAGTAAATAGACCGCCATCCTCTACAATGCATCTTGAAGCCTGTCAAAATATCTTCTGTAACTGAACCATAAATCCATCCAATCTGTGAATAAAACAGTCCATGAGAGTGTGCTTTTCAAGTTGAGTAAAACAACTGCAGTTGCACTTACATAAAACAATTATCAAGTTTCAACAAGATTTCTTTTCAATTTTTTTGTTAATTCATATTGTCGTTGACTATTCAGAATAGAAGTTAAAAGGACTTTGAAACTTCCCAAAAGGCCTAGTGTCAATACTCACCTCTTTGCCCCATTCCGTTTTCTCTTCATATCCACAACTAATAACGTGAATGGCTTCTTTGATAAGAGAACCGGGGTTTGTTCCCTCAGGGAGGCCACCATCTTCCATGAGAGTGGAAGTAATGAAAACTGGTGACATTCCAAACCGTTTCTCAAAATTCTTTTGGGACATGAGTGATGATTTTTCCAACTCATCATATCCTTCAAGACCTTCTTCAATCTCTTCAAGATCAAATGCTGGTCCTGACGATCTCCGGGAGTACTGTTTGCCCATCATTTTCTTCTTACTATATAGTCCTCCAAGGCCAAGCATAGCCTTAAATCCTTTTTTCTTACCCTTCGACTTCTTCCTAGAGCCACCACAACAGCAGCAGCACCACTTTGGCCAGCAGTCACAAGTCATTTTTGGCCGCTTCTCAGACGTAGGTGGATCATAGCCGTACAATGCCTGCCTGTTGAAAACACACCCAGTGCCAACATAAACAGGTCCTTGGATACCATCTAGGCCTTTCATGTTGATCTGTTATCATAAAAAGGAATTCACAATTTTCAGATTTGACATCTGGATACTTATCGCACATTAGGTTCATACAAAATACTTCATCGCCACTACAAATTGGAAAAGTAGGGCATGCTAAAAATGCAATGGAGAGAAATTCAACTCACATCAAAGAATACAACATTGCGATTTGCATATCTGTCATGACGATCAATACCATCAAATCTCTGTGGAAATTGGACATAGCACAGCTTCTTCCCAATTTGGGGATCCATAAGAAAGCACATTGCTTCCTTCATAGCCTTGCTGTTGTTGATGTAATGATCACAATCCAGATTCAACATGAAGGGTGCATTAGTAAGTACTGCAGAAACTCGAACCTGTAAATCAATATATAGTAAGTCCCAAGTGTCAGCATCACTAAATCAATCTCTCAGTTCCACAAGAAAAGACAGTGAGTATTAACTTAGCAGCTACCTACCAGTGCATTCATGGCACCGGCTTTCTTATGGTGCTGATAGCCAGGTCGCTTTTCACGTGAAACATAAACTAGTCTTGGCAGCTCCTTACCTTCAACATCGAGTGCACCTTCACTTCCCAAATACACCTAAAAATGTCGGATACAGTTATTTAGTCATTGATACAGCTGAACTCATTACAGCGGCAATCAACTCTCAGGCAGGGAATTGTGATCTTAAAGAATGATTGTCAGAAGGTCCGCTGATCTAATTTTGACTAACTAACCTGAATCATTCCTGGGTGATCACGAGTGTTGTTCCCAGGCCATGGAGTCCCATCCTGCATTACCCATCCTTCTTCTGGTTTCTTTTGTGCTTTTGCCACCAACGCATTAATTCTTACTTTGAACTCTTCATATTCTCTCTGCAATGCTTAAACATTGTGTAAGAATGAATTTAATTCAAGTAAATTCACCCAAGTATAGCAGAAGAATGGAATTCATTGAATTTACCTTCATGGCCCTACGATCCTTCACGAAAGTAGGCTGAACCTTATCTTTTAGGTAGTCAATTTTCTCAAAGAAGTAGTACTCTGGAGCCCGAGGTTCAATGCTGTATTTTTGGCAAAATGGCACCCACCTCCTCGCAAACTCAGCTGTTTCAGCCAATGCATCAAACAGAAGCATCGAGGCTCCATCATCCGACACATAGCAAGTCACTTTCTCAACTGGATAATCTACAGCCAAGATTGAAAGGACCGTGTTTGCAGTAATAATGGGAGGTTCCTTAAGAGGGTCGACAGTACTGACAAAGACATCAACGGGGAGAAGCCGGTTAGGCTCACCCTCTCGCTCAAACCTCAAGGACAAACGATCTAGATAAGTTTCGCGGTTTATGGGAAACCATTTGGGAAACTGATCAAGTATCCAGGATAAGCCGAACCATATTTCACATATCACAGAGATAATCCATAAGGGATAAGCATCATATGCCGGGGTTAAGATTCTAAAATGGAAAAAGAAACATAGGATGACTAAACGAATGACAATGACTATGCGATAGGGATTGATTAGGCTTGAAGGAATCGGGACTTTTCGCCAGAGTGGCTGCCGAGCTTCAGCGTTACTATGGAAAAACAGTATAGCACAGCATCAGCAATGAATGGTATAAAGTAAAAAATCAACAAAATACGAAACTGAGAAAGAGAATATCTTACATATAATCATCATCATCATCTTGATCATTTCCTCCATCATCTGCTTTTGTAACAAGTCCTCTCTTCTCTTGCCTAGTTTTCCATTTTTCCACCCTTTCCTTCCATTCTTCATTGTTGTAATTTTCTTTTTCACCTTCAAAATCCTTTCCTTCAACTATATGGCAATCAGTGTCAGTTATACAAGAAAATATCTGCAGAGATATTGAAATATGGTAGAATATTTGAGTACCACTTGCTGTAACAGAAGGAATGGCAGCGCCATTGGTATGATTTTGATTCTGATTATAGTCCCTTTGTCCCTGCCAAAGAAAGTATTGAATTTCTTGCGTTTAATCGAATGAAATTCTCTTTCGAACAAAACATCAAACAGTAAGTACCTAAGAATACATTTTATGCAATTTGTTATTATATTATATTTTTAAAATAAATCAATAGCCATTGCATCGCATGGAATGGATGTGTTATTTAACTCCAAAATAAGAATAACAAACATCTGCTTAAAGTTTAGACTACAAAAATAAATATTTTTTTTTCTAAAAAAATCAAAAGTGGATCGAATTTTCATAATTTTAATCAGATCTCTTCGAAGTAATTTAAGACAATAATGTGAACAAAATTAAAAAGAATTTTGTCTGTATTTTGAGAAAGACAGTATTAAATGACTTTAGCTAACGTACTAATTGTGATTTATATTGTATCTATACGTTAAAATTAATTGTTTAACTTTGATCTTAACTTTTTAGCAACTTTTCAAGTTTTTTGAAACAAGCACTTAAATTGATTATCCAACTTCTTGTTCATAAAACATGAAAAACTATGTAAGATTAAATATAAATTAAAAAGAAAGACGTGAAATGAATTTATCAATTGCACGTATTGGATCACTCTAGGACGGCAAGAAATCGTGGCTCAATTGATATTTACCTTGTTGAGCCGAAATTCATCTTCAAGATCCTCGTCATAATTAGCTTCTTCATCCCCTACAACTCTAAGACAACCTGCGGAATCAAAACCAACCTCTCATAAATTTATTTGGTCCAAGAAATTATTAATGTACCTTAAAACTAGAAACAATGTTGTTGTTATTATTATTATTATTATTATTATTATTATATAACCTTTGTGACGCTTGTATCGAGTGTGGCACTGAGGGCAACTCTTGTTGCCCTCACTTCTCTCGTACTCATAACAAGCCTTGCAAACTGGATATCCACACTCATAACATGCCACAAACAGCAAACCATTGTCCTTAAATCCGATCTCGTCTCCACAAATCCGGCATATTTTGTCGGTTGTAGTAGATTCACGTGTTGGAGGTCGACGCTCCTGTCAAGAAAACACGGGTGCAACGAATAAAGAAATAGAATTACAATCTACAATCCATGCATTTTTATGGAATAAGTTCTAATCCCAACTCTTCACTTTGATTTCGATTAATGTTCAGACGCCGATGCATGGAAAATTGGATTTAAAAAAAATAAAAGTTCTAATCCCTACTTGAAAGACGCTGACGAACATATCAAAAGTAATGAAAAACGAGCAAATTAAGTATCAGTTGAATAGTAGTTCGTCCTCAATGTTAATACTATATCTAGTCAATAGTCGTGAAAGCGGCAATCTGAGGGGCCAAAGTAGCCTATCCGTGGGCGGAAGGTCGGTAAAGAGTGCACACTAAGAAAGTACGAAGGATAAACACATATATCAAATACTATAACAAAATATTAATGAAAAATTAAGTATACAGTATGATTGGACTCTACCAAGATATATGATGTACAAATACACTATGTTTTTAAGTACATATTCGTACAAATTTCAACGAAAACAAAACGAGAAGACGAGAAGCTACGTATATACTTACTTCATCAACGCCATGCAAAACATGGAGTTGGTTGCGTGCATGAGAACCAGCCACAAGGCCACCAGCCATGGTGTTTGACGCCATGGCAAGAGAAAGAAATGAAGACAAAAAGGAAAGGCAGACGGCTGAGTGAATTAGGCAGAGATGGGAAATAAGGGATTTATGTACAAATGGAGATGTAATTCTAGAGAGAGAGAGTGTGTGTGTGTGTTTGTGCGTGAGAAAGCGAGAGTCAGAGTACCAGCTGATAGGTGAGGGGTCAAAGGTTTGATTGGAAGAGAAGTTAGATTGGTTGCCTGTTCTTGTTGGTGCTTAATTTGAAAGGGAAAGTTCCCAATAATAATAAAGGTGTCTCCATTTCTATGTAGCTTGCAATCCAAGGTGTTTACTGGCTGACACCAACTACCTTATCACAATTCACATGCCACTGTGCCTAAACTTGAAATCAAGGCCTTCTTAGATTTCTAAAGATAGTTTGTGTGAAATGTGGTCGACGAACTTGGTGAAAGAGGGAAATATTATCATATGACTTAAATCCAATTACTATTAACCTGGCAGGTTGCTAAAACAAGAATCTTAAATCAATCAATTTGTGTAAACTCTCTGTATAGGCATCACTTTGACGCAGAAACGAGTAAATACAAACAGTATACAAGTGCGCATTTGTGCTTCATGCACAATGGCCGGGACAAAGGGTAGTTGATCCCACGAGGATGAGCTAACCCCAAAAACCCGTCCGCAATTATGATTGCAAGCTACAACTCGCCTACATGAAGTCCGAATCGCTAGTAATCATCAGTCAACCATATGACGATGAATTCGTTCTCGAGCCTTGTACGCTCTACCCGTCATACTATGGGAGTTGGCCATTCCCGAAGTCATTACCTCAACTGCAAGGAGGGGGATGTCAAAGGTAGGATTAATTACTGGAATGAAGTCATATATTAGTGTCTCGCATCAAGAGTGCTCTCCCAATACTAACATGGCAAGGTCGTCAAAAGTTAGGCGTATAACACTTATTGTCGAATAGTGCATTAATGATACAATCATATATAGATACTGTCTAGCATCATACTCATAAAATTACATATGTGCCAATTGTTTGTCAACCTAAGAATAAGGAAAATGTTGTCTTGAAGCACCAAACCTTGGGAGTCAAAACATTCAGTCCATGAAATTTTAACATCAACGTTTCTTCAAGTGTATCCGACATTGTTGTGAAAGCGTCAAGTAGTAGTTACTTGATTGCAATTCAAATCGAGGAGCCTACTTTTTTGCAAGAAAAACATTTTGCACTTCACATGAGATGTGAACACAGGCAACCACCATAATCACCAGCCAGCCAGCCACCCAACGACCATCAAACAAACTATTAGTCATTCTACAAACAATCATCTTTCAACTCTTGGCCACAATTTCACTGGAATGTAGATACGAGTCAATAATGCTTTAAAAAAAGAGGCACACACATTCTACATTCCTCTTCTACTAAATTGTACTGTAATTCCCCCTTCCAAGAGAGAATAAATCTTTCCACCACTAAGGAAGAATTGAAGTCTAAGAATCTAGTTGAGATAGAAAGGTCTACAGGAAAAGATCAAATGATTCGACATTCAACCATAATTAAATCGAAGTCGAACTCAAATGTTTATTAGAACAAAAATTTCAATGCTAATTGCTCCTAAAAAACCTTTTTCTTTTTTGTTTTAGAGTCCATCTCAAAGACAAGTTCAAATGGGCTGGTTCACCAGGTATCACTTGTGTGTGTGAAGCTCAACAAGCACAAGGCTCACTGGAATTCTTCACACAAGAAATTAAACCAGATGTCTTTATACGCTATTAATCAATTTCTTTATCTCCGCTCTGACTTTCAAAGCCAGAAAATAAGAATTTTTAAGAACAGGTAACCACAAAATTACCCAAAATTACCCCTTTGTATACACACACAAATCAAATGAGATTGTTTATAGCCATGGATACTCGTCCATCCTTCATAAGCCAACAAATGCGCTAATAGCTCAACTCAGGTAAATTAAACGTCAATCACCCCAGTAAATTGCATCCATCAAAATTACAATACTACAACACCATAAGTAAACAGCACCCCAAAATATAAGCCTACATGCACCAATCTACAATGAATTTTGCTACTTGCAAATCCAAAATGGTAAATAAACGGTTACCGAAAATGATGTGGATGAAAAAGATTAGATGAAAAAGGTGATTGTGAATGGTAGAGTGTCATGTGGCATTTTGTAATCCTTATGTAAATCTTGATATACATGAAGCAAGATCATCTTCAATACAACGATAGTTAAATAAATCAATTTGGCAAATCACACAAGACGTTGGGGCACTATCCAACTTCATAATAGCCAGTTATGTATTGTTACCCAAACCAAAAATCAACTTGCACAATTAAATTGAATATGGATTACACAATCAACAACTTAATTTCCCTAGACGAGCAAAATCGTTTGTGCTACTGTCTTAAAAAAGATGACACAAGGTCTTACAAAATCTATAAGAAACAACAACTTCGTATCTCTGAAGCATAAAATCAAATCATGAAATTAAATAGAGCAAGAAACACAAAATTTCCAGATAACTTCAAAATTCAATGTCTAGACTATAGCATTGGCAGCACTGGCAATCCTAGGCCAAAGATCAGCACACTCTTTCCCAATTGGGCCAGTGATGGCAGAACCTACAAACACCAAATGGTAGAATAAGCACCAATCACTATTAAAATTGATTTCCATCCACAGAAATAAAAATAGTAGTTCAATAAGATATTGACAAATCAGTCTATTACCTTTCATTTCACCTTTTGGATTCACAATGACCCCAGCATTATCTGCAGGTGCAAAAGATAGGAATTAGAACAAAAATGCCACAATATGAAAGAGTCGGCATTATATAACAATCAATATCAGAATGCTATGAACAAATTCAAATAGCCCTTTACACATTCAGGTGAAATGGATATTAAAGTACCACGGCACCAAAATTCTAGTTCCTAAGATAATAAAAGACATTCGCTGGCCAACATAACAGAAATGCTAGTTACAAATAACAGCATTATGCTACTACAAACTGGCAAATATTTTCTCAAGTACGAACATCCCCATTGGAGGTAGAATTTGTCCTGCTTTTGTAGTCATAGATGAACTTATCTAGGCCATTAAATGAGGATTTTTTATATTACTTTTGATGAATTATATTTCATTCTCTTGTATCTATTGTTTGTTAGGTAAAACTTGATGCTTTGAGGTAAAATTGAAAGAAAGGAACGAAATTCAAGCAAAAAAGGAAGAAATCCAAGCGGATGATTATTTCATTACTTGATTGCTTGATTATACTTCCATGATTGTTTCATTAATTGATAGCTTGATTACCAATTAGGTAATTAGCTGCTTGATGATGTACTTAAGTGATGTTCACAATAAGTCTAGAACGCTGCCAGGTTAACGCATGGGCAATAAATATTAAGAATAACATGTATGGTGTGTGCAATCGTATAGATAATCGTGTATGCTAAAGTGTTGCTTTGCATATGAATGCTGAATAGGAATATGACCGATTCATGCTTAGAATAGGTTTAAGTCACCTCGAAAGAAATAGTTACATAAAAATGGATTATCAACTTGTCATGAATGCATAAATCACACTATGTTACATAGGTCGAGAATTGAAAATGAGATAACAAAGATTCGTAAGTTCAATACATTCATCCCATAAATTCATCCAAACCAACGCTTTCAGGTAACTTATAGAATAATTTAGAAATAAACAATCAATCTATTTTGTGTTATTAATACAATTCATTTAAAGTTTACTCCTTCTGAGTTGTGACGATACATTTCTAACTACATTATTACTTGTCAACGATCTCGTACAATTGTGGGATTTCACCGAACAATAGGTAGAAAAACTCGCAGTTGATTGTGATCTCATTTGATCAATCTGGACCTCCTGGATTAAACAACATAAGTTCCAAAAAAGCTTTATGATGTGTCCTTAAACATTTGCTATTGTTTTTTAATGGATCTATTGATTAGGAATCTATACTGTTCAATATTGCCTATAATCTTTAATAGAATATTTTCATTTCCTTGATGTCTCAGTTCATGGGAGAGGCTGCCTAGTACTTCACTGAAGGCTAAGTTTACTGCATATTTTGTTAGAAATCTTTGCAGGCGATTGCACATGTATTAAACCACTGTGAAGAGACAACAATAGACAAAGGATTAAATAGATGTTACAGCACCAGAAGAAATCATCTCTTGTACAATTAAAAAATACCATAAGCATTCAAATTCATAGAAAAGAAGAAATGCACAACAAAAATGAGAGACCCGATAATATGATGCATCTTTTACTTCAGTGAGTACACGAACACTTCAAAATGAAACCTGACTGCTTTGATATTAGTTTACTTAATCATTGATAATGAAAAGAAACTCAAATAAAAAATCTAACATAGAAAGAGACTAAGATGTGCTCGTGATATCATCCCAGTATTAAACATTAAGAATAAATAAAAGATAATAGCGCCAAAACTCCATCAGTAATTTCCTTAACTACTTTCATAATTTCAGCAACTAATAGGCCAGTGACACTGAATGGTGTAGAAAATCAGCATCTGCATATTCATTTTTACGCTACACGTAATAAAAGGATTAGATTTCACAAAGAAAAACAATGTTGTTTATCTGTTCGGCAACAAATCAAAAACCAAATCTTAAAACAAGCAAAACCCGAGATTAGGTATGGCATTTTACTAGCAGCAAATAAAACATCAAAATGCGTGCATTTATAGATATGTACGAGTATTCATATATGTATATACGCACAGACAACAGGTTTGTATAAATATATGGAAACATGCGTGTATACCTTTATATACGCACAAACAACAGTTTTGTATAAATATATAGAAACATGCGTGTATACCTTCAAAGTACATGAAAACGCCGTCCTTTCTGCGCCAAGGTTTACGCTGGCGGACGATGACTGCGGGCATGACCTTCTTACGAAGATCGGGCTTTCCCTTCTTGACGGTGGCCATGACCATGTCGCCGACGCAGGCTGAGGGAAGACGGTTGAGCCGCCCCTTGATTCCTTTAACTGAAATTATGTAGAGGTTCTTCGCCCCTGTGTTATCAGCACAGTTCACCGTCGCTGCCACTGGCAGACCCAGCGACATCCTGAACTTGTTCCCCGCCGATCCTCCGCGTCCTGAATAAAAATCGAATCAACAAAAGATACAAGTTAGTATTCACATTCGTAAAAACTATTCGAAATCGAAAAATAAAATAAAAAAATTCCAAGTCAGACCTCGCTTCGACATTGCTGAGCTTTTTTCACTCTTCTCGCGCTAAACCGAAGAAAATGAAAATTTAGGGTTTGAAGGTATTTCACATAGTTAAGTGGGCTAAGATTTTTACTAAGAGATGGGCGGGCCAATTTATGGGCTTGCTATAAAAAGGTATGGGAAAAGAGGAAAAGTAAATGTGAAAATTACACAATTCCCTACTTTTCAAAATTTATATTCTAAAATCAGATTTGAAATATATATATATATATATATATACAGAAATGATATAATGAG